CGCTATGGGAACACTTGGGGGAGGATGGCGGGGACGATCAGGCTCAGGAGGAGGAGGAGGAGGAGGAGGAGGAGGAGGAGGAGGAGGGGGAGGGGGGGCGGAGGAGCAGGAAGGAGGATGAGAAGGAGGGGGGGGGTCATCTTGAGAGTCTCTGGGGGCACTCTTGGGGCCTCCTGGGAGCTTCCTGAGAGCCTCTTGGAGGCATCTCTGGGGCCTCCTTGGGCCTCTTGGGGGCCTTCGGGGGCTTGCTTCTCGGGGGCCTCTTTGTCTGTCTTAGGGCGTTCCTGACCCGTCTGAGGCCGTCGGACGCCGTCTTGGGGGCCTCTCTTGGACGACTTGGGGCCCTCTTGGGGTGCTCCAGGGCCGTCTCGGAGGCCTTCTTAGGCGTCTTGGAGGCCTCTTGGGCAGTCTTGGGGCCCTCTCGGCGTCTTGAGGGCCTCTTGGGCCGTTCTGGGGCCATCCTGGAGGACTCTTGGGCGATCTTGGGGCGATCTTCGGGGGCACGTGGGCCGTCTCTAGCCGTCGGAAGGCCGAACACACGCAAATGCACAAATCTGTCCAACACCTTGTTGGAAAATCCATAGGTTTGGTCTCCTCGGGCCTTCCTAGAGGCCTCTTGGAGGCCTCTTGGGCTGTCTTGGAGGCCACTTTGGGGCCTCTTCGGCCGTCTCGAACCATCTTGGAGCCATCTTGGGCCGTCTTGGCGGCCTCTTGGGCGGACTTGGAGGCATCTCGGACCCTCTTCGGCCGTCTTGAAGGCCATCTTGGACCATCTTGGGCGAAATTGGAGACCATCTTGGCCATCTTGGAGGCCATCTAAGCCGTCTCGGAGACGTGTTCTGTGCAGCGGCGGCGCGCTGGGCCGAAGCCCCGGGGAGAAATCTTCTATGGCACAGAGCCAAAACCACGCCGTAAGAAGTTTAGCACTCCAGGCACCCCTGTGAGAAATCAACAGGGGGCGGCGGATGGAAGACGCCTGCGGCGAGTCACCGCCGCCCCCTGCCTTCCAGAATCGCCCGTGTGGCCGAACGTTGTGGCAAGAGCTCTTCCAAGCTATCGGACCATATGTTCCCCCAGACCATTCGGGGAACACGTGGGAGAGGATGGCGGGGAAGATCAAGAGGAGGCGGAGGAGGAGGAGGAGGAGGAGGAGGAGGAGGAGGAGGAGGAGGAGGAGGAGAGGGAGAAGGAGGAGGAGGAGGAGGGGGCATCTTGGCAGCATCTGGGGACACTCTTGGAGCCCTTTCGGAGCTTCCTGGGAGCCTCTTGGAGGCATCTTGGGGGTTCTCTTGGAAGCCTCTTAGGCCATCTTAGAGCCATCTTGGGCCGTCTCGGTGGGCTCCTGGCCCGTCTGACGCCGTCGGAAGCCGTCTTGGGGGGTCCTCTCTGGGCCGATTTAGGGCCTTCTTGGGGTGCTCCAGGGCAGTCTTGGAGGCCTTCTTCTTAGGCGTCTTGGAGGCCTCTTGGGCCGTATTGGGTCCCTCTCGGGCTCGTCTTGAAGGCCTCTTGGGCTGCTCTGGGGCCATCCTGGAGGCCTCTGGGGCGATCTTGGGGCGATCTTTGGGGGTTCTTGGGCCGTCTCGGGCCGTCAGAAGGCCGAAAAGAAGCAAATGCCAAAATCCTTTAGAAATCAATGGACAATCCATGATTTTGGCCTCTTCGGGCCTTCTGGGGGGCTCTCTTGGAAGCCTCTTAGGCCATCTTAGAGCCATCTTGGGCCGTCTTGGTGGGCTCCTGGCCCGTCTGACGCCGTCGGAAGCCGTCTTGGGGGGGCCTCTCTGGGCCGACTTAGGGCCTCCTTGGGGTGCTCCAGGGCAGTCTTGGAGGCTTCCTTGGGCGTCTTAGAAGCCTCTTGGGCCGTCTTTGGGCCCTCTTTGGGCCGTCTTGGGGGCCTCTTCGGCAGTCCTGAGGCCATCTTGGAGGCGTCCTGAGCGATCTTGAGGCGGTCTTGGGGGTCTCTTGGGCCGTCTTGGGTCGTCGGAAGGACGAACCGAAACACATCCCCAAATCCACCAAACACTCAAGGAGAACCTTTTTTTTCCCCCTACCTAGGCTCTGCCTAGAAGGGTTATTACCCTGTATCTTAAAGGGACCGGGCAGTGGGAACCGGCCGGGGCGGTTCCCCCGGCATCCGCCCCGCGTTTCCCCCAGTTACGTCCCCTTAGTTTAGCGTCGCGTATCTCATCTTAGCTTAGTTTTTGTTCATATTAGCTTAGCTTAGCTTAATCTTAGCTCAGGTTTGTCTTAGCTTAGCTTACCTTCATCTTAGCTTCGCTGAGCTTTAGCATGGCAGAGGACAGCATAGCATAGCGTAGCATAGCATAGCGCAGCACATCATATCATAGCATAGCCCAGCATAGCATAGCATAGCGCAGCATAGCATAACATAGCATAGCGCAGCACAGCACAGCATAGCACAGCGCAGCATAGCATAGCATAGCATAGCATAACATAGATAGCATAGCAGCAAATCACAGGCACATCAACAGCAGCGACAGCAAAGCAACGCACAAGCAACGCAAAGCAAAGCAAAGCAACAACAAAAGCAAAGCAAAGGAAAAGTAACGCAAAAGCAATGTGCGACAGATTCCGAGCTAGCCTCGATGGCCCGACCGGAGCCCCCGCAAGCAGTGCCTTAGCATAGCATAGCGCAGCTTAGCATAGCATAGCATAGCACAGCCTAGCATAGCACAGTGCAGCATGACATAGCATAGCTTAGCATAGCTTAGCATAGCGCAGCATAGCATAGCATAGCATAGCGCAGCATAGCATAGCATAGCATAGCATAGCATTGCATAGCATAGCATAGCATAGCATAGCATAGTATAGCATCGCGCAGTACAGCATGGCATAGCATAGCATAGCATAGCATAGCATAGCAACTAATGCTGCTTTCCTAGGGGCTCCAACTTCTAGGTAGGGTCGCACTGGGGTAGTTGGCCTCTTCGGGCTCTCCTGGAGGACGTCTTGGAGGCCTCCTAGGCCATCTTAGAGGAATCTTGGGTCCATCTTGGCCGTCTTGGAGGGCATCTTGGGCCGTCTTGAGGCATCTTGGAGCCATTTTACCCATCTTGGAGGCCATCTTGGCCGTCTTGGACGCATCTTGGAGGCCATGCCCGGCAATCTTGGCTGGCTTGGAGGCGACAGGGGGAAGCATCCGGGCATTTTGAGAACCTTCCAGGACCCCGGCGGGACGGGCCGAAGCCCCAGGGAGTTTCTCAACAAAAACCTAAACCGACAGGGTCTAGCACGCCGGGCTGTGGCAAGCCAACAGGGGGCGGCGGATCTAGCGGCCTTCAGCCCATCCCGCCACCGTGCCTGAGTTGTAGGCCAGAGGCCTCCTGGATGCCTGCGAGGATTTCTTGGGAGGCCTCTTGGAGGCGGTTTTGGGGGTGTCGTGTGGCGTCTTTGGGACCTTTTGGAGCCTGATGTTGGCCTCTCTGGGCCTCTTGTGGGCCTCTTGGGGCCTCTTAGACGCACCTCGGTGGCTTGCGGGGGATCTTCGGGCGAAGGGCTTATAATGTCAGTTCGTGTTCCCCGTCTTGGGGGCCTCTTGGGCCCCTCTTGGGAGCTCTTGGGCCGGTTTGGGGCGATTTTGGGCGCCTCTTGTGCCGTCTTGGACATTCTGGAGACCGAACAGGCGGTAATGCGAACCACATAATTATATAGAGGGAGAGAGAGAGAGAGAGAGAAAAACAGAAACAGAAAAAACAAAAAAAACATGGAGTGTCGACGAGTTGGGCCTGTTGGGCCGTCCTCCAGAGCCTCCAAAACGGCCCAAGAGGCGCTTTCCAGGACGGTCCCCGGGGCCCTCTGAATCCATGTTGGACATGCACGTCCCGCACAAGACGTCCCTGGCCTCTCACACAGTCACGCGGGGACCCCCCCAGAGCGCCCGGGAGCGCCCGGAACTCCGGGTTGCGGGCCCCTTTGAAGCACACTTGCAGAACTCAACGCAGAGAACTCTCGAAGGTTGATAGACCTCCTACCCTGACACGTCGATTAGCGAATTGGCCGTTTTCGGTTCGTGAGAGGGCGTCGCGGCCGCTTTCGGTCCTAGGCCGTTTTCACTAAAGGGTGGTTTACTAAAGGGAACTTTGTCCACCGCCGAAACTAGTGCCTCGTGCCTGGCACGGTGGTGCATTTGGGCGAATGCGCGATCAGAACCTGGCCAATTTTTACCAGAAGGAACAATGTCTGTTTCAGCGTCCGCTTGCAACCCCCAGAAAAATTTGGGTTGAGTTTTGGACATGCACATGTCATATCACATCGAACGCTCCGCATTGTACTAGCTGTCGGGGATGAGGGTGGGGTCGATGAAGGGACTGGTTGGGATGGCACGAATAAACATTTTGGATGCTCGCTCGTGCATAGCACTGGAGGGGTGCAATCTGTTGATGGGAGTCTGCCAGGTCTGGCTCCGGCATGGAAGACGAGGTAATGCATATGGTGCTGGCTGTGGTGCAGGGGACGTGGCACAAGCCATTGCGACCCATGTGGCCCACGATGCGGCGCAAGTTATGTGTCAGGAAGGAAAGAACACACAGACACAAGGAATCGTCGATTCCCAGGGAAATATAAGAAAGTATGTGAAACGGGGGGGAAGACGAAAACCCAGAAATATTGGAATCCTTGTACTTGTGTCTATTTATGTGTGTGTCCTTGGGCCCCTTCAATGTAGCCCAAGCCGTGCGGCTCACACTTTGTGGTGCAACATCTGCGGTTCCAGATGCGCGGCGCAAACGGCGCGCCAGCTAACGCACGATACGCGCCCACGAGTCGCCCACGACGGACGGCGCCTGGGCGAAGACCTGGAAGCGCCCGCCCGCGCGCGAGACGCAGGCTTTTATTTGCAGTTGTGCGCGAGGACGAGGAGGAGAGGAGGAGGAGGAGGAGGAGGAGGAGGAGGAGGAGGAGTAGGAGGAGGAGGGGGAGGAGTTTGCCTACCACGTTACGGGAGCCCCTGGTTTGATTTCTGCTCGGCCCCCGCCCTTTGCCAGGAGCGAGATGATCGAGGGAGGTGCGCTTGCTCTTTCTGCGGGCGTTGGTTGGCGCATCATTCGGCTGTGGCATGTCCCGCTTGCTTTTAATCGCGCGCGTCGTGCATTGCCTTTGCGGTATGGTGAGCTCACACGACCTTCCTCCCGAAGAAGAAACGCCACACATTGAATTGCCAGGGCTCCGCGCAGATGTTTTGGACCTGTGCTGGACCCTCCTGGCGGCGCCTCTGACGCCGCCCTTGGTGCGCTCCGCGCGCAAAGGGAGTGAGGGCCCACGCCGATCCAAGAGGTCCACGCGGAGCTCCGGAAGCTTGTGTTCCTGCCGTTCGGTGCGCCTGCAGTTCTCTGTGCACGCTGGTGATCAGTCAGGGACGGAACGTGACGGCGAAGATGGGGACACCTTTGCCGCTCAGGGCAGAACTTGCACGCTACTCGCACGCACACGTCTTTGCTTGGAGGTCGGCGGCAGCGGCACACCTAGAGGGGCCAACATATATTGTGTACATGTTCTCCAGAGAGGCTGGCGCTATAGGAATCCTAGCTCAAAGCCTACTCCTTGGTCCGTTGCCCCCCCTGATTCCTGTGCCCCCCCCCGCTTATTCCTATGGCTGTGCCTATGCGTATTCCTATGCCTCCCCCTAGCTCCTATGCCTACGCCTATGCCTATGCCTATGCCTATGCCTATGCACCACCTCTGAGCGCTCCTATGCCTATGCCTATGTCTATGCCTATGCACCACCTCTGGGCACCCCTTTTTTCAAATGGCATCCCCCTTTATTTCCCATGGCACTCCTTCCCCTTTTTCCAATGGCACCCCTCTTATGTATACTTGCTTGCTTGCTTGCGCGCGCGCTTGCGCGCGCTTGCACGCTTGCGTGCTTGCCTGCTTGCTTATTTGCTTGCTTGCTTGCTTGCTTGCACGCTTGCACGCTTGCACGCTTGCTTGCTGAGTTGCAGATTCCAAGCATGCTCCATTCCTCTGATTCCTTGATTTGAGTCGTCTTATTTATATATTTGGAGTCAATTCTGGCTGAGGCCTAGAGTGGCAACACATGTGTGGGGCACTCAACTACGAGGGCCTGGCGTTGCTCACGATTCGGCGTGAAACATGGGCGTTTTGCCATGCGGCAGCGATTTCGATGAGTGCTACACGCGCAGGTGACAAGTATGACGTTGCACGACGGTTGTTGTTCATCGTCGGTCTTGCTGGCTTGCCTGCTCACATGGAAACAGTGATAGTCTCGCCAGGGGGGCAACTCGACCTGGAGAACAGCGGGAGGGACTACTCCATGGGCGAGGCTCACCCAGGGATGCGTACAGTGCTGGTCCTTGCCTGGATCCTTTCGGACGCCCGAGTTATCCAGGATCACTCCGGTCCAGGGTAGCTGCGGTTTGAGGCCCCCGTCGCACCAACCAGGAGATACCCTTGGCCACCCCCAGCCCCGATGCTTCGGGAGTGGTCGCACGCCCGAGCTCTCCAGGACCACCCTGCTTCCTGGGCCACTGCGGCCTGGGCCCCCCGCCCCGAGGCACGATCCAGGAGTTGTTCCTGAATCCCTGACCTCACCACCCACCAGAACCCCCAAAACCCAACCCGAAGGCCTCAATTTGCCATACATTTCCAGCGGGGGGGGGGTCGGGGAACATTGAAAAAACACAGATAGAACCCTTATCCCCCCCAACCCGAAGCTCGGGTCTTCGGGTCGGGTTGGGGTGGTCTGGTAGGTAGTCATGACCACGCCCGGCCCCGATGTGACTCAAGGCCCTGAACGCTGCGCACCGTTTCCAAGCGCAGGCTCCGTGCAGCGACAGCCACGGGTGTGCCAGCCCTCCTCGGCTGCTTGGCCGGCACCGCGAGAGGAGGCGCTCCCCGCGCCGACCAGGGCTTTCCCCCCCCCTGGCAGCAGCCGCCCTGGGAGGAGCGGCAGAAGGGTGCGCCAGGAGGCGCACGGGAGGGCGAGCGGAGGAAGGAGGAGGAGCAGGAGCAGGGAGCAGAAGCAGCAGGGGTGGTGAACATATTGGAATGGCTACTCGTCGTCCTCCTCCTCCTCCTCCTCCTCCTCCTCCTCCTTCTCCTCCCTCCTCCTCCTCCTCCTTCCTCCTCCTCCTCCTCTTTTCTCCAGAGCGGTGAAACAAGGCAGATTGACTAAGCTGAGCAGTCTGAGGCTTCGTCCTCACACGAGGCCCACCCACTGTCGGAACCGGCATTCCTTCGTCCTGCCCGGCCCCCGAGCTCGATAACCCAATCGAGGTCACAAGCAGCAGGGGGAGGAGGTGGAGGAGGAGCGTAAGGACCGAGGATCCTCAGGACGCGTGCTTACCCCACGCAACCCCGCCGGCGGATCCTGGCATCGCCTGCGTGGGGGGGGCTCGGTGGACAAGCACTCCCGTTGGCGCTAGCACACGTCCTGAGGGTCATCAGAAGGAGGAGCTGGAGCAGGAGCTTGGGGATGAGGACGAGGGGAAATCGGCAGGAGCAGGAGCAGGAGCAGCAGCAGGAGGAGGAGGAGGAGGGCGATGGAACGGAAGAGGCCGATGATGAGGGCGTCCGAGAAGCGGGGATGATATATGGGGGAGACGGGGGAGCAGGTTGATGATGATGATGATGATGATGATGATGAGGAGGAGGAGGAGGAGGAGGAGGAGGAGGAGCAGCAGCAGCAGCAGCAGCAGGGAGGAGAGCGGCAGGCAGGAGGGGAATGCTGATGAGGACGAACGAGAAGGGAGGATGTGTGAGGGCGGAGGGAGGAATGAGGAGCAGGAGCAGGATCTGGTGAACAAGGTCGAACGAGTCAGGGGGGCCCGTGCATTCCTACCCCCACCCCTGAACATACGAACTAATGGTGTCGCGGTTTGGTTTTGGGACTGGTGCGCATTCCCTCTGGCGATCGGGAGGCGTTTGCACGCGGTCCGGCTTCCAACGACTTGGCAAGAGGGGGAGAAGATATTGGCCACGCAAGGGCGCGAGCGGAAACTCACAGAATTCCCGTGCGCGGCGCCGCTGCGAGAGCACCCTCGAGCCATTCAGCCCTCTTGGTGCGCCTGTTTTCCACCGCCACCACAATCAGCAGAAGGGGGAGGGGTCGTCCTCCTCCTCCTCCTCCTCCTCCTCCTCCTCCTCCTCCTCCTCCTTCTCATCATCATCATCATCATCATCCTCCTCCACCTCCTTCCCCCCTCCAACTTATGGTGGTGGTGGTGGTGGAAAACAGGCCCATCACCTCTTTTGCTCGGCTCAATTTCCCATCCTCGCGGAGAAGACGGATCGCGCGCTGCGCTAATGCAGCGCTGCCGCTTTCGAGCAGCATCTGCGCCGCGCCTGGGTGAGGGCCCGGCGTCGCGCGACCCCGCTGCCGCTGCCGCTGCTCAGCGATGCCGCGACGGACAGCACAAAAAAACACCACGCGGGATCGGGAACGCAACTTCCAGGTGAATCTACAGTGAAAACGTATAGTAAGGACGCGTGGCAAGGACGCAAGACCCTTGGAGGCCGAAGTTGAAGTATTCGGGCCTGCGAAAATTGCTAGGGGCGGGCCGCAGAGGCTGAGGCAGGCAAGGACCCAAACGTACCCTTGAAAAAGTCGTTTGTCCTTACTCTGCGCGTTGACTGTACGGGGGGTTGGGGCGAGAGCGACACCGCGCCCTTTCGCGCGAGATGCGTGCCGCGCCCAGCTCCTGCCACGCATTTTGCAACGTCGACGGCCGCGCGTCCATGTTTGCAGGAGAAATTACGCTGTGTTTTTTGTTTTGGAGAGGGGGATGGATGGGATTGACCCCGTGGATGGGGTGGCTGTCGGCCGGCTAGATGGCAGAGTGGGGGCGTAAGAGGTCCTAGGACAAGGGTGAGGATGGTTAATGCGAGGAAACGATTTATACATACATATATATATATATATATATATATACACACTTTAAAAAAATAGCAAAAAACAACAACAAAAAACGCCTCCCCCCCCCCCCCTCCCCGGACCCCCCAAAATGATTGAGTGGGGCGGACTAATAGAATTCAGCCGCCGGAAACTGTTTTTTTATTCGTCCGTCCCCCGGCGCTCGCTTCATAGATGACAGCCTACCCCTCCCTCCCATCCCTTACCATGGCGTAGATCCCCTCTCTACTCGCACAGTTGGATGTCGAGCAGGGCAATGATCTCGAAAGGGTACGCGATGCATTGTAGAGCACGGCGTGGCAGGGCGTTGAAGAGCACCGCAAAGCGTAGTATGTCACAGCATGGCGTGGCGTGGCGCAGTGCAGAATTGCATTACAAATCTTTGCAACGCAAAGCATGGCATCGCACAGCGGCCCCGAACATAACATTGCATAGCATGGCGTTCAATATCAAAGCGTAGCATGGCAGAGCACGACGTGGCACGTTCGTCGCCGCAGACGGTCCACCTGCTTTGCCTTTCTCCGCCAGAATTCTCTTCCGCGCGCGCCGTTGCGCAATTCGAGGGGGGGCGGCCGCGGGGCGCCCGCTTCCCTTCCCTGACTCCGGATCCGCCCTACGTTGGGGAAATTCGTAATTAAGTAGGGCTTGGAATTTCCGCCTTACTTTTCAAGCCCCGCCGATGCGAATTTCCGCTCTACTTTTCTGTTGTCGTTTCCGCCCTATTTCTGTGGATTTTCGCACCATTTCATGTTGTGTGCAGAAATTTCCGCCCTACGTTTTCGGCTCCTTATAGGTGGATTTCCGACGCAATTTTAAGTTGGGGAAAAAAAAACCAAAGTCGGGCGGATCTGGAGATAGGGTTGCCCGCCGAGCCGGAGAGGGGAGGAGGAAGAGGAGGAGGAGGAGGAGAGGAGGAGGAAAAGGAGGAAGCCCCTTCTCAGGCCAGAGAGGCGTTCAACCGCGTGGCCCAGCGCTATGGCTGGTTGACGCAGTGAGGCGCCTCCCGAGTCCAGGGCCCGCACAGCGGCGGGGTCCATCCCGACCAGCGAAAGGAGGAGGAGGAGGAGGAGGAGGAGGAGGAGGAGGAGGAGGACGAGGAGGACGAGGAGGACGAGGAGGACGAGGAGGAGGAGGAGGAGGAGGAGGAGGAGGAAACGAGGAGGAGGAGACCAGGGGGGGAATCGGAGGGTGCCGGGTTGAGGGGGACCAGAAGGAGGAGGAGGAGGAGGAGGAGGAGGAGGAGGAGGAGGAGGAGCAGGAGCAGGAGCAGGAACAGGAGCAGGAGCAGGAGCAGGAGCAGGAGCAGGAGCAGGAGCAGGAGCAGGAGGACGAGGAGGATGTCCAAGGCGATGGGCTGGCTGGTTGACAGGGATGTCCGCGCACAGCAACAGCCAGGTTGAATGTACATTTCTCCGTGGGTGGTTCACCTCCCGCTGCTGCCGTTCTCCCCATGATCTTCCTTCCCCGCTCCCCCATTCCCCGTTCCCCCACCCATCGCCTGTCGACTTTTGTTCTCCCCTCCCCTGACCTGGGGTGCGAATCTGCGGGGTCCTTCCCACACGAGGTTGTACCGATCTGTGGTGAAGCGGAACGGATGAGCAGTTTGGGTAGGTCAGGCTACGGTGCGAGAGGGGGGGGTGCAAGAGAGAGGCAGAAGAGCAAAGCGGCTGATGGACGATCATGAGGAGGCAGGAGGGCCAGGGAGGAGGGGCGGGGGGGGGTGGCAGCGAGGAGGGTACGGGGGCCAGGGACGAGGCTGGGGAGGGGACCGAGGAGGGGCGGGGAGACGAGAGGCGAAGCGGGCGAGGAGCGAGAGTCAGGAGGAACACTGGCCCGGTGGAGGGGGTGCGGGGAGGGGGGGGGGGGGGGAGCACCGACGAGGGATAGCGACACACGCACCCCCACCGCGTTGTCCTCCTCGGCCCCTCGTGATCGCGACTCTCAGCTTCCGCGAGCAGGGGGGGGAGGGAGGGAGGGAGGGACGGGGGGGAGGGAGGCAGGAGGGAGGGAGGGAGAGGAGGGAGGAGGGAGGACGAGGACGAGGACGAGGACGAGGAAGAGGACGAGGATGAGGACGAGGAGGACGAGGAGGAGGAGGAGGAGGACGAGGAGGAGGACGAGGAGGAGGGCGGGACGATGGGGGGCAGGAGTGGCCCGCACAGGCCAGCGCTCACAGCGAGCGGCAGCAGACCCGTGGTCGCACCAGATTGGGTCCCCGCGGCTGCGCTCCGCTCTCCCCTCCCTCCCGCCAAGAAGAAAGATCGGGGGGGGGGGCAAACGATGAGGGGGGGGCAAACGATGGGGGGAGGGGGGGGCAAACGATTGGGGGGAGGAGGTGGGAGCGGGGGGAGGAGAGGGGAGCGGGGGCAGGAGGGGAGGGCGGCGGCGGCGCGCCGAGGCGGGGGGGGGGGGGGAGAAAGGGAGGGAGCCGCGAGAGCATTGGTCGACGTGCTTCCGCCCGTCTTGCTCCCTCCCTGGCGCTCCCTTCCCCCCCCTCCCCCCCTCGCGTTCTTCGCTCGTGTTGCGTCTCTCCCCGTTCTCCCCCTGCCTCCGGCCCATTCTCCCACCTCCCCCTCCTCCGCGCTCCCTCGCCCCCCACCTCTCTCTGCCTCCCTGTCCGCGTTCTTCTTCAATCCTGCCTTGCCCCTCTTCCCGCCTCCCTCCACTCGCCCTCCCTCCTCCATTTTCCATTGTTCCCCCTCCCCGCCGCTGTTCCTCTCTCCCCTGAAGACGGCCTGGGAGTCGCGCGGCAACTCCACTTTCCGCATCCGAGTCCTTCCTCCTCGTTGTCGCCCCCCTCCTTTACCCTCCTCGGCCTTCCTCTGGTCCTCTGGCTCCTCCCAGTCCTTCACTCCAGTCACTGCTGCTGCTGCTGCTGCTGCTGCTGCTGCCGCTGTTGTTCGTCCTCGTCCACCCCATTCCTCATCATAATTGTCCTCCTGCTCGTGCTTCTGCCTCGTCCGATCGCGCACCACACGATTTTTTTTTTTTGGGGGGGGGGTCCGCCATGACACGCGTCCGCAGATGTAGACAAGTCGCCGTCGCCGCAATGGAACGGGATGGGTGGGTGGGGCAAGATGCTGGCCGGATATATCATGAGCTCACCTAGCTTGCCCCCCCTCTTCTCCCCCCCCCTCGCCCCTTCCTTCCCTTTCCCCCCCCTCCCCCCCACCCTACCTCATCCTCCCTCCTGTGCTTCCCCCTCGCCCTCTCTCCCTCCCTCCCTCCGTCCTCCGCCCTCCTCCGGCTTTTCTCATCCCACATGCGTCTCCATACCCTCGTCCGTCGTGCTCCTATGTTGCTCCGTCTTGCTCTCATGTTGGGGCGTTCACTCCTCCTCGCCCTCATTGTCCTTGTCTCTCATCCCTGCCTCTGCGACTCCCTCCTTGTTCGGAGTTTCGACCTTCACCTCGTCCCGATCCTCATCCTTCTCTTCTCACTCGCCATCGTGCTGTTCGTGCTTGTTCTCCTCCCCAGTGACCCATCGTCCTGCCCGTTGTCCTGCTCCTTCTCCCCCCCCCCTGCTCCGAAGATTTCTCGTTCTGATAACCACTCCTCCTCGTCATATCATCCGACTCTTCCTGCTCCTCCCCGACTGTCCTCCACCCTACTGCCATAGCTCAGCGACGTTGATTGAAGCATCGTCCGAGGCAGGGCTGCGTTGTGGCCCCCGTGCCAGACCACGGAGATGGACGCAGACAGAATATTTGCGCGTGTCGCGAAGGCTACGGCTGCGCCGCGAGCCGATCGAGACCACGCAGCAGCTCCGCGTACACATTGTTGATTTCTAATTCTTCGAAGGTTCTTTGATTATGTGGGGGGCCAAGATCCTTTCATTTATAATTGTTCTATCCTGGGCCTCTTCCTGGCCACTAGGGGGCCAGGAACAAGTAGAAACGAGCACACTTAGAAATGAGCACGGTTTGAAATGAACGACGTGTACGCAGGAGCCGTGCTGTGAAGCTGCAGACGGGCCCACCGTGGACGAGCATCATGTGTTGGCAGTGCCGGTCTTGGCACTCACCTTGCGGCGACACCCTGGCTGCTGGACAGCCACGACTGGGCAAACTCGCAGGGGCGCGTCCAGGATTCCGCGTCTTGTACGTCTCCAAACGTTTCTCCTTAATGGGGCGTGGCAAGGTCCACCAGTGGGACCAGGCTGGCTTGACCTCCCACTTTCATTTGGCGGGGAGGCGGGTTCCCAAACTACTGTGGACCTCTGCAGGCGAAGTGTTGTGCAGCCTGGGTTGCAGATGCCAACCGGAGAGCTTCGTTCTAGAGTTGCTGTGGTAGCCTGCACGCTCCGCCTCCGCCGGACGCGGTATCAGCATTTATCCCCCAGTCTCTCGTCCTCCTCGCCCTTTCCCTCCTCGTGCTCGTCCTCGCCCGTCTCCTCCGCTCATTCCGCCCCCTCTCCCCGCCTCTCTTCCTCCCCGTCCTCGTCTTTCTTGTCTCCGTCGTTGCCGTCGCTCGTCCCGCACCCCTCCCGCCTCATCCCGGGGCGCGGCACCAGGATTCAGAAGCTGGGCGAAGGCTGGCAAACCCGCGGCTGCTAAAACGGAGCGCCAGGAAATTGTTGTTTATTCCTTCCAGGAAGCAGCCCGTTCACTGCTATAGTGTGCTGAGCCTGATTCCGGGGATTTGTTTTTCCCCTCTGGGAGGACTGTTTTAGCAGCCACAGATTTGCGCGCCCTCGCCCAGCTTCCACAGGATCTTCTTTTCACCGGGCGCGTTCCACTATTCACAGGAGTGCCTACTCGCAAATGTCCGAAGAGAACACATGCCTGCTTTGATGTGATTCATCGTAGATCCCCCGCGGGGGGTCCAGGCCATCTGCGAGTGGTTACTATGCGAGTAGTGTCAAGTCGGGCCTGTCCCTCTACAGGAGGAATATTTCCAAATAGTCAAACAATAGTCCGGGGACGATTTTTGAATCCTCAGGCATCTTTGCAGCGTGCTTCAAGCACTTTTCATCTTTCGTCCAGAATCCCCCTGTGGGGGGGCAGGCCCGAGTTCAGAGCAGTGGAGCGCGCTCGTCTACCTCGCCCAGCTTCCCAAGGGATCCCCTTTGGCCTCGTCTCCCGCACGTGGCACAGTGTGCGTGGAGCCTTCTGCGGGGCCGCCGCCGCCCCTGGCCCCATCGGCAGTGCAGAACGGGCCCGAGGCGCCCCGCCTGCCCCGGGCGCGTGCTCGGCAGCGCGGTGGTCCCGGATGGCCGAAAAGGCGTCCTCGTCCTCTTCCCGAGACCTCCTCCTCCTCCTCCTCCTCCTCCTCCTCCTCCTCCTCCTCGTGCCTTCCTGTGCAATGTCCCGCGTGTGACCTCACCCGGGAAAATGCCATTTTAGCTACTGCCCTCAGCTTCTATACATACCACGTGGCCAACGATATGGCCTCTCATCAAGACGGGCGCCCTTTAATTCTGCCCCAACAGCTAGATGCCCTCCAAGCGGCGCTAGCAAAGATGCCCAACAATTACTCGATTCTTCCGCCGCCGCCTGGATCGGCTAGGCCTTACCCCTGGCTGAAGCCCACAAGGCGTTGAGTGCCCTGAGACCCGTGGACTCGTGGGGTACTGGCGCTCCTCCTCCTCGTCCTCATGAAAAATCAAGACGGGAGGTTTTTCGCGATTTTCGGCCTCTGGGGGCCCTGGCTGGGCCTTGGAAGCGTCCAAACACGGCTCGGGACGAAAAACCGGTCCTGAGGAAGTGGTCCGGACCTTCGGGGGCGGCATAGAGGGGGGTGATGACCAGGGCAGGGGGGGATATCGTCGCGTGGGCCATGATATTTCCCCAGATTTCATGGCGCCTCTTCTTCTTTCGTTGCGTCCCTGGCCCCCCCTGTGGGCCGCGCACATGCCGCCGGCCATGATTTGCACCCCCCCCTCTTGCCTCGGTGGTCCCGGATGGCCGACAAGGCACCCTCATCTCGGGCCGAACGGAAGGGGGGGATAAGGAGAGGGGGGGTCACGAAATCTCGCAGGCCTAGGGGTTGACACCAACACCAGTGTCGGCGGAATCCCGCCACTGAGGGAAGAAGATCCCGATCTCGGTGATGGTGGTAATATTCTGGCTTCCGAGGTGACCGAAATATTGCCACCAACACCGGAATCTAGGATCGTCTTCCTCCTATGGAGGCAAACCTCCTGTGGTGGTGCTGGTGCCCATTTCCAGGCCTCCAAAAATGTGCTGCATGCAGCTGGTTTCGGCCCCGCCGCCGGGCCCATTCCTCAATACAGGGGCGCCTCCCGGCGCTGGGAGGAGCTGGGAAAATCAGCCACGTGAGCTGATTCTCTACCCTACCCTTTGCTGTCCCCCCTTTCGTTCCCCCCGATCACCCCCTTGCGTTCCCCCCGTTCACCCTCTTCCGAATCCCTTGCCCCAAGATCACCGAGCGCGTTCCACTATTCGCAAAGTGCCTACTCGCAAACGTCCGAACAAAGTTTCCTTCTTCTATGCAACGTATCGTGAATCCCCCGCCGCGGATCCAGGAGGCCATTTGCGAGTAGTTGCTTTGCGAGTAGTGGAACGCGCTTGCCCTCTAGACCTTCACTTCCTCCGCCTCCTCAGATTTGTCCTCATCATCCTCACCTATTTGCCTGGTGCCCCCCCCCCCCACCCCCCTTGCTCTTGCCCGCCTTCTCTTCGTCCTCACCCCCCATGTCTGTCAATGTTCCCTCTTGTCTTGCTGCTCCTGCTGCTGATGCTGCTGTGTTCCTCCTCCGCCTCATCCTCTTCGTCATCACCATCAGCATCATCACCATCATCAGCATCATCACTATCATCATCATCATCATCATCATCATCATCATCATCATCATCATCATCATCATCATCATCATCATCATCATCATTAACAACATCATCATCATCATCATCAGCAGCATCAGCATCAGCATCAGCATCAGCATCATCATCATCATCATCAGCCGCAGCATCAGCATAAGCATCAGCATAAGCATCATCAGCAGCAGCAGCATCACCATTATCGTCCTTCTTTCACTCCTCATCTGCACTTTTCCATCTCGTGCTCCTGCTCCGCTGTTCACTGTGCCTGCTCGCAGCGTTCTCCCGTAGGATTTAGCATATCTTCATTTTCCCACACCCAAAGCGGAATCCTGCTTTCTCCGGGCACCCCGCGCAGGAATTGGCACCCAAACACAATCACAAGCACCATCATCAATCTCATCACCATCATCGCCGACTAATGACCATGAGTCTGAGCCTGATCATGACCGTCATCGTCATCATCATCATCATCCTCATCCTCATCCTCATCCTCCTCATCATCATCATCCTCATCATCATCATCATCATCATCATCATCAGCAGCAGCAACAGCAGCACCATCATCGCCACTACCAACAACAATCGGAACATCAGCATCGTCATCGCCATCGTTATCGTCATTGTCGTCATCATCAGCAACATCAGCATCAGCGTCATCATCATCATCACCACCATCACCCTTATCATCGCCATCACCATCGTCATCGTCATTGGCGTCGGCGTCGGCGTCCTCGTCATCGTACATGCCCACCCACACACTCGCACACTCATCTTGAGTAAGTCTCGAGCGGAAGCCTAGCTTGTGAGCGAATCGCGAGGAAACCTCGAGCGGGAGCCCTGCCCTATGGGGTCCACACTTCCACGTTCGCATCGGAGGCGGTCATCGGACAACCAGGTAAAAAAAAACATGTCTGGTGACGCCTTGGGACCGGAGCCCCGAGGAAGTCCGAAGCGGGCCCCTCCCTGTGGGATCCCCGCTGCCATGCTCGAGCCCGAGGCGGCGAACGGAACACCTGGCGAAACAGGGCTGGACCTGAACGCTGGTCTGCTGGACCTCGGCTCTGTTTTTTTCTCGTTTTGGCAGGGAGAGACAGGGAAGCAGGTCGAGCAGAACGAAAAGCATAGCGAAACCACAACGAACAACAACAACAACAACAACAACAACCACAACAACGACAACGACAACGACAACAACAACAACAACAACAACAACAACAACAACAACAACAAAGAGCAAGCCGAAAAGCAAAACGAAGAGCAACACAAAGGAAAGCAGGTCGAGCAGAACGAAACGCAACACGAAAACCAAAACGAAGAAGAACGTTTAGGTCCAGCCCTTTTGTGAACGCGCAGGTTTGGTGGCACCCGGGGGGGCGGGGGGGGCGTGACGTCAAAGGGAGCCTCTCGAGCGGCGGCCTCGCCCGTGCGCGGATCGCGAGGAAGTCTCGGAGGGGGGGTCCCACCCCCTTTCGAAGGGGTCTCGAGGAGGCGTCTCGAGGAGGTCTCGAGGAGGTCTCGAGGAGGCGTCTCGAGGAGATCTCGAGGGGGAGTCCCACCCCTTTGGGGCTCCCGCCCCCGTGTTCCAACCCGATCAGGCGATCGCAAACATGGATCAAGGGGGCGTGGATTAGCGACGGGTCCCGTTTCCGCGGGAAATCGCAGGTTCCCGCTGCCGAACGAAGCGGCACTGGCCGCATTTTGGGGCGGGCGCCCCCCCCGATCCATGGATTTGGCGACCGCGCGCCGAACCCATGGATCGCTAGTCCATGTGTGCGCGCCCCCGAATCCGAGGCGGCCATCGGGAAACCCTTTGAGCACACGGGCTCGGTGACCCCTGGGGGCCTGGATCCCAAGGAGGTCTCGAGCGGAAACGCCTCGCCCGGGAGCAGTCGCGAGGAAGTCTCGAGCGGGAGCCCCTCCCTATAGGGTCCATGCCTCCACGTTCGAGTCCGAGGCGGCCATCGGAAAACCGTGGAAAATATATGTTTGCGACACCTGGGGGCTTGAAGCCCGAGGTAGTCTAGAGCGGTAACCTCGTCCCTGAACAAATGGAGAGAATGTCTCGGGCGTTAACTCGTCTCCGAGTGAATCGCGAGGAAGTCTCGAGCGGGAGCCCCTCCCTATGGGGTCCCCACCTCCATGTTCGAACCCGAGGCGGCCATCGGGAATCGAAAGGATGTCTCTGGCGCTCGCGTGCAAGTGAATCGCGGGGAAGTCTCGAGCTGGAGCCCCATCCCCCGCTTCGTTTTATTAACCTGAGGCGGCCATCGAGACTCCTTGTGAAGGCGCAGGTTTGGTGACATCTGGGAGCCTGCATCTTGAGAAAGTCTCGAGCGGGAGATGATTTACTTCGTCGAGCGTCATTTGTAATGCGAGTTGGCCTTCCCCAGTCAAGCTTGTAAGCGTCGGCCAGGACCAGCTGGAAGAGGCCTCTGTAGTTACAAGGCCGACGATGAGATCATTCCCAAATTAGTTTGCAAAATTATCATGCGGGGTCCTGACGTCGGAGTGATTTCAGTATCTGCCTTCTTCTCGCTCGTGTTGTCCATCATTGCACACCATATGTTTCTACCTTATCGGTATCCATCTCGCTTTTCCATCTCTTCCTCGTTTTCTGCCCCCACCTCTTCCTGAAAATTGTGTCCCACGGTGCATGTCCTGTGTGACAAGGCGCTTGGTATGTTCACGCGAGGTCGGGAAACGTCTTCTTCGCCGCATCCATGCTCCACCAGAGCCAGTTCACGCGTATGTCGCAGTCCTGTGCCCAACCCAGCACGCAATGTGTGTTCCGCCTGTCGCAGTATCCAGCCCGCTTGGCTCAAGCCATCTTGGCTCAAGAGCCCAGGTTTTCAGCGTCACAGCGCCCGCCCCCCCTCGGACCTCGCCAGAGCCGCAGCCCCGAATGGCGCCGCCCCGCTCCGCCGTCCTGACCGCGTCCGTGCTGCTCGCGTGCACCGCCCTGATGGCCGCCTTTGTGCCCTCGCCCGTGGCATCCCGCCCCGCGGCTCAGTCCATCCCGACGGCGGCACTCAGCGCCGCGGCGCTCGCGGCGCCCAGCGCGGCGCACGCTGAGGGCGACAGTGTGTGGATCCCAGCGCTGTCTGCCGTGGGAGCGGGCTTCGCCATCGGCCTTGCTGCCATCGGCTCCGGCGTCGGCCAGGGCATCGCCTCGGGCCGCTGCATCGACGGCATCAGCCGCCAGCCGGAGGTCGCGGACGATCTCCGGGGCGTCCTCCTTCTGTCCCTCGCCTTCATGGAGTCGCTGACGATCTACGGGCTCGTCATTGCGCTGGTGCTGCTGTTCGCCAACCCGCTGATCAAGTAGGCTGAGGGTCTTGGATCGGACCGGGGATGCCGCCGCGCTGAGGGCGAGACAGTTTGGTAAGGCCTCGCGGATGTGGGGGGAACAAAAAAAGTCCAGCCCGCTTGCACACG